CTTTCTTCAATCCCCCCACACCCAATTTTTTCTCTCATTTTCACTCTCCATAACCCCCTGTGTGATAATGGCACTTCTGACTTGCTTGGGGTGAAATGTTAAAAAAAAAAAACCCAAAACATTGAATATAAAATAATTAGGGTACTGACAAAAGCATCTAATAAAATAATTAGGTACTGAAAATAGCATCTACCACAATCAAAGGTAAAGCTCTCCCTACCAAAGCTAAAATAATAAAAAAGTAGTCAATACATATATATATATATATATATATATATATATATATATATATATATATATATATATATATATATATAAGGCAGGATGGATGTGTGTGTGTGTGTAATGAATGCACGGCTGCAATTTTCGACGGATTTGCACCAAAATTTACATGCACATGCTCCAAGTTAGCGGGAAGGCCAAGACTGACTTTGCATTTCCCAACTCCCATCGATAGTGGAAATAATCATTTTTTCATGCTTCTACGGCGGTTTTCATTAGTTTGCGGCCATTTTCTACTGGCCAGAGTGAGAGCCTATAGCTGGCTGCCACGAATAGGCAGGAAGATTCTATTGGCCAGCATGAGAGCCAACAGCTGACTGACACGAATGTTAACTAGCATGCTAGCAAAAAAAAAAAAATCGATAGCTGCATTCATCACAAGTGGAAAAAATTTAAATCTGCATGGCACTTTACTCCAATTGGCTCATTCGCTTGCTTAAACTCAACGTTGATTCTGATTCCGCAGAACTGGGTTGGACAAAAAAAGTATTTGTTGTTAACATTCTTTTTCATTCGGTTTTTCCAGTTATGAGTCCTTTTTTAAAGCTGATTGTTTTGTGTTCATTTTGTTTAGTTCTTTTTTTCGTAACAGATTTAATGTTTAGTATAGAGCTTAGAAAAAAATTTGCAATGTGAGATAGGCAAGAAGTAAGGCATGTAGCAACATCAGCACGGCAAAGGGCACTCCTTTAAAGGCAAGGAATGGCAAAAATATTTTAAGTTAAGTGATAGTGATTGCTGTATGAGTCGTACGATTTTTGAATCAAGCACGGGCAATGCCGGGCCATGCTGCTAGTAATATCTATAATTATCAAACAGTATATGCCTATCTAATGATGTGGCAACAGTTTCATATATATTTTTTACCTAATCTTTTCCAAGTTTCACATTATTAATCAGATTGCTGAAACTCCAAGAAAGTAGGGGTCATTCATAATTATAATTACAGAATATGTTCAAATTTACAAAGATAAGTTTAAAAAAAAAATGAAAACAGTTTCATTGCAATTACAACAAAATTATAAGCTTAAATGTGAAATGTATGCTCCAGGTTCAGGAAACTAACTTCAGAAGTTTTTCATCTATTGGTTTTGTAAGCTGTTGTATTACTTCATATAAACCACATTGCAAAGAATTCAGAGCAGCATTCCAAAGTTCATCTTTACTGGGAAATTACTATCTGCTAATGTAAAAAAAAACATTATCTTCAGAATGTGCCAAAAGTTTTTGATCAAGTTATGGTCTGTTAAACAAGTTTGCCACTTCATCAAACAAGTATCTTTTTTTTTAAACTCATTCAGAAATTCATTAATATTCTTTGCTGAATATAACAGAACAGTGTCATGCACAAAAATCATTTTCATTCTTCTTTAACTATGGTTCCATATGTGCCTTCAAAAAATTAACTTGACGCAATCTGGAACTTGCCATCAGGCCCACTACTTCACCACTTACCATCCTCTCCTAAAATCACACCACTTCTGCCTGGTTAATGTCTTAACCTATAAAGTTATGTCTTCCAGTAGCCACCCAGCTTCATTATTAAATGTATATTAAGCTTACTACAGTAAAAATGATTAGCTGAGATGGAGTTTGTCAGCCTTGGAAGGCAGTTTATCTTAGAAAAGAAAACCTCTGAATTCAAATCTCCACTGCCTTGCAGCGATATCCTAACATGGAAAAGGTTATAGAAGTAAATCCAGACAGAAAATCCAAAGTGAAGTCTCAAGGCATTTTGCTGGCAACACTGACCTCCTCTTGGCAACTCCTTCAACCAAATCGATCACAAATGCCTTTCATTCTCTTGAATCTCATTGTTTTTTTTTCAGAGAAGGCTTCTGTTATCTGATCAGTACAAAGCCTTCATACACAAAAACTCTGAACTTTCCCATTATCCAGTGAAATCCCAATATAGAAGACCACAGTTACAGAGTATAAACCTCTGCTTTATTGGTGTAGTCATAAGTTTTTCATCCCAAGCAAGGCAATAAATCCACTAGAATGCAAGAGGTTACTAAGAGTGAAAGAATCTGAGAAAAATCATTATTATGGATAATTTTATTTATTAATGACAATATAAAAACAGGATTCAAGGAGACAGATGATGATTGGCATTTCATTTAAATTTTTGAAGATCAAAGTTGACTGGAAAGTGAGAAGTGAAGTTCCACAAGTGAGAAGTGTGAGAGAAGAAACTGTTAGCATAGAACTTGCAATAATATATTTACTAGGCTGAGCATTGAACTTACTACACTTGGTGATTGAGCTGTAAGATGAGCTTACTATCCTGCTATTGTAGTTGTCTTTTAACTTTTATTACATTTAATTTTGTCTGCCCCTGGCCAAGTCTAGGTATATGTAAACCCATTGTTCCCAGCATTGAGTGCAATTTGATTTTTAAGGGTGTGGGGGAATTCATGTATGAGTTATGAATAGTGGATTTTTCTCTGGTGAGTCTGTGTGAGCATGAATGCATGTGCAAGTTAATACATATGATGCATATATAGTGTGTATGTATGTACATTTGTAATTTCATAATATATATATATATATATATATATATATATATATTAACAATTTTTTCTTCAGTACTTTAACTGTCCTTTCATTCTTTTATTTTTCTCTTTCATGGATGGCATGTTCTTTGGAAGCTGGTTTAGACCAAATTAATGACCTTTTGGGCTTCCTCCATGTGAACAGGAGTTCACTTTTTGAATAATAAGAATTATGTCATGGTGGGTGGTGAAGGATTTCAGAGATGCTTAAGTGGGGCATGGCCAAAAAAAAGGTTGTAACCACTGATCTAAACAGTCACACTGGTTACACTAGCAAATCAACTCATGAGATGGTCTTGATAACTCTTACAGTATGCCCTAATTTAAAAAAAAATCCACATCCTTTAGGATGTAGATTCCTTTTGTTTTGTGAATTACCATACTTTCATGAGAAAGATAGTAAAATGGTTTTCCATTGTCTTCTCCACTGTTTAGAATTCATTTTTCCTTCTCTTAGACTTGTTACCGCTCAAAGAGAGCTGAGTATATTTAATGCGGTCCTGTTATTTAATCCATAACTGGGAGGTGTTTCTTACCATATTGGATTGCTTATAAGACTTCCCTCATTTATATTTAATATTACAATATTATGGAGTCAGACAAAGTACAAGTAAATGTAGTCTACCATCCTAGATAAATACTGGCCAACCTTCTTCTTCTCCTATGTGCTGTGTCCCTTCAGGACTCTCCACAACATCCTGTCCTTTGTAACCCAAAGTAAAGATTGTCTTTGTGCTATATCTCTTACTCCTGTTCTGCCAACCATTAACACAAACTCGTTAGGTAGGTTATGTGCTGCTTTCCTCTGTATCTCTTTTCTTCAATCTGCCCTGTGAGTGTCAAATTTTACAAGTCTTCTTTCCTCATTGTGTGGCCTAGAAATTTCAACTCTCTCTTTCTAATGCTACATGTAAGGATATTTTTTTATTTCCATTTCTCTAAAATTTTGTTGTTGCTCACATGTTCAGTTCATGTTATCCTCAGCATTTTTCTGTAGAATCACATTTCTGTTGCCTCAAGTCTCTTCTTCCTCTGTGATGAGATGATCCAGCATTCACTGTCATATAGGAATACTGATATTATATAACAGTTCAATACTATTTTCTTTGTTTCCCTGTCCCTTAATACTTTGTCTAGCTTTGGGAAGGCACCTTTTGCTATTCCATAACACCTTCAGATTTCAGTGTCACATTTTTCATTCTGTAAGGTGAGAATAGTGGACTCTCAATTTGGATTGAAATCAGAAACAATAGCATGCAAAATGAGTTTTTTAGCCATTGCTTTATAAGAGGCACACATCTTTTATTGATATTTTCCAAGCTTATTTAAGATAAAGACTCAAGAGTGGATGGAACTTACAAAAGACAGTTGCAAAGGGATCTTTGTTAACCAACAAATAAAAAATTATTCATTTATTTATTTTTTTTGTAGGAAATGGAAGGAGGAAAAAAAAAATTGAAACCTATTAAAAAAAAAAAGTCCCATTTTAAAAAAAAAAAGACTAGCAGCATTTGTAGGTTCAGGGATTGTGGTGAAGGGTGAAGAGTTCATAATGTTTACATGTGTGTGCGTGCGTGTGCTTACATGTATGTATGTGTGCGTGCGTGCGTTTACATGTATGTATGTGTGCGTGCGTGTTTTTACATGTATGTGTGGATGTGTGTGTGTGTGTGTTTACATGTACGTGTGTGGATATATGTATGTGTTTATGTGTATATATATAAATATATGTGTGTATATGTATGTATGCATGCATGCATGTGTGTGTATATATATAAATATATGTGTGTATATGTATGTATGTATGCATGCATGTGTGTGTATATATATATAAATATATGTGTGTATATGTATGTATGTATGCATGCATATATATATATATATATATATATATATATATATATATATATATTCATATATATATATATTCCTTTTAAACGTATGTATGGGTTCATATGGGTGTGTATATAGTGTGTCTATATTCATGTGTGTATGTATGTATGCACACACATGTTAGTTTTGTCTCTTCAGTTTTAATATATTTGTGAGAGGCAACTTGTTCTCCCCTCCTGCCAAGCATTGACACAAAATAAATGAGGTGTTTTGCTCAGCAGTTCTTTTACACATTTCACTTGTATCTTCCACTTACCATTTGTCCTTTTTATGTTCAGCAAATATTCTAGGCTTATTGATTTTGATGAAGAATTTGCATCATATTATTGGGTGACAAGCAGAATTGAAAAATCAGACTTTTTTCTTTTCTTTGCTCTTTTTCTTTTCTATTTTCTACTTTTAACTTTTCCTCCTTTGCTTTTTCTTTGCTTTAGTCTTTTTTCTTTTCTTTTTTTTCCTTTCCCTTCTTTTCCCTTCTACACCTATTTCTTTACTTTCCATTTCTTTCTCTTCTTTCCTATTTGGCTTTACTTTCTTCTTTTTTCTTTTTTATCTTCTTTTATTTTTCCTTTCTTTCTGTTTCTTTTCTCTCCATTTTTCCTTTTTTTTTTTTCATTGATTTTTCTCTATTTTACTTTGCTCTTTTTCCTTTTCTTTTTTTTCCTTTTCTTTTTTTTCCTTTTCTTTTTTTTCCTTTTCTTTTTTTTCCTTTTCTTTTTTTTCCTTTTCTTTTTTTTCTTTCCTTTATCTTTTTTCTTCCCATCTTTTTCCTTTGTCTTCTCTTTCCTTCTTTCATCCAAGCCCACCCATGTTTGTATGAAATATGTCTGTACAGTCATCCAATGCATATGCAGCTATATGATAAAATAATTGAACAATATTTATATTATTATTTCTGCTATTCAATATCATCATATCATTTTACAGTTGAAATGGCTAGATGTAACCATAAGTTCTATGCTAACAGTTTCTTCTCTCACACTTCTCACTTGTGGAACTCTCTTCTGGCTTCTTGCTTCCCAGTCAACTTTGATCTTCAAAAATTTAAATGGAATATCAATTGTTATCTTCTGACTTAATAATATTTTTCTCATATTCTCTCACATTCAGTAACTCAAAGCAACTTAGTGGCTTTATTGCCTTGCTTGGGATGAAAGGATTTTAAAAAATATTCTTAATATTATTATATGCATCATATTATATTAATATTATAAAATATGATTATCATCTTGGAAGCAATATAAATGAGCACTATTGCTATTCCAGTTGTTATAATGCATAATGTTAGTTCATTATCATCTTATTGGAAGAAAATTATTAATTAAATTTAAAAAAAAAATAAATCATAATAATCAAAAAATAAATTAAAATATGTAACACTATTCCTAACTGAAATATAATGTGCAATAAATCTAAAATTAAAGGTATAATTTTAGCATGATTTAGTTATAAAAAATCATAATAAAATAAAACATTTTAAATTATTTAATAATAATAATATATAAAATTAAGCTATTTAAATAATAGTTATATAACAAATAAAATTTTAAATAATGTAAAAATACTTCATAAATAAAATATATATGAATTATAATACTTAAAAACTTACTTTTTTATCACTTATTTAAAAAAAGTAAAAAGTTATAACTTTTTTAAAATTTTCATTAGTTAACAGCATTTCATTTATTTATTTTTGGACAAAATGTTTTATTCATAAAAGTTTGTAGCATCATTATTCAGTCATCAAAGTATTTTCCTCAGCTTTCTACAACCTTCCACCACCTTTCAGCTAAAACGTATATTCCATCATATCTAGTTGATGGAAAGGTTTCCAGTGATGTTGGGTGACAAAATCTTTTATTTATATAAATTCATAGGATCATTATTCTGTCATCATTTTCCTTGGCTTTCTATGACCTTCCACCACCTTTCAGCTAAAACATGTATTCCATCATATGAAGTTGATGGATGATGACAAAATCTTTTATTTATATAAATTCATAGCATTATTATTTGGTCATCATTTTCTTTGGTTTTCTACGACCTTCCACCACCTTTCAGCTAAATTGTGTATTCTATCATAAAAGAATGATTACAGTTTGGATGACTCATTTGAGGTCTTGGACTTGTTGGAATCACTGTTAGATGGAATAAAATAAGTGATTGTCTAAAAGTGGTAGATGGGAAGAATATGCCTTTTGAATGAGACCTTCTTAGCTGAGCTCCCAAATTGTTTATTGCAAATCATCTGCAACTTGAATATAGGCATTATTATTTTTTTTCTAATCATTTCACTCAGTGAAGGCTTTAAAACCACTAAGGCGCAAGGGTGAAAGAATATAAGAATAAAGAGAAACATTATTATGGAAAGAGAACAAGAAGACAAGATAGTGATTGACACTGCATTTAAATTTTTGAAGGTCAGTCGACTGGAAAACAAGAGAGTTCCACAAGCAAGAAGTGCAAGAGAAGAAAATATTAACATATAACTTAGGATTTCATCTAGCAATTTCAATTGTAAAACGATGAGACCTGGCTACCAATCTAGTACTGCACTTAAATTTGTAAAGTTAAGGTACTGTGGCGGACATGAGACAGAACCTGGGACGAGCACAACTGGTCACGACTCATTAAAAAGGATTAAAAAGAGCCCGTTTTTGCTTAGCATGTAAAGCTACTGCAGTTGAAATGAGGGAGAAAAAAAAGCACTTACCGCTCTGCCGTAATCCATCCTCGGCCAGATAATGTAAAAGAATGAGGGGGGACTGGCATCGCATTTTTATGCAATAACGATGCAATGCATTATGGGACATGGACACAATGAATTATGGGATCACATGAAGATGCAAGGGATTATGGGTACATGAACAACTATAAAAACAACTACTTTTTTTCTAAGTCGGGAGTTCTTGAGGGGACATTCACGGTTTGACGGCTAGAACGGGCAGTTAGTGTGATTTGGAGACAGAACTCAAGAAGGAACGACTCAAGTTTGAAATACCAGCTGGGAGAGCTTGAATTTACTCACTGGTTACTGTTTTCTTCATTCGCCTCAGGTACCCAAAAGGAAAGCTCATCAGAACAATTACTATGAAAATACTTATAGAAAGAGCCACAGGGAAGCTATGATACGGTGGTTGGAAAAGTGCCTGGAGCTGAAATGCCAGGTCAGGACCAGTAATATTGCAGATTCTTCTTTGAATCTGCAATGTTATTGGTCCTGACCTGGCAAGTGATTGTTTAAAGGTGAGGAAAATGTACCATTTGTACAAGACCTTCTTACCTGAGCTGCAACACATTTGTAACTTGCAGATAGACATTGATATACAACAAAAACACACTTTTTTTACCAAGAGAAATTTCTTTCCTTCTAATACATTATGGATATTATAAAGTAGAAATAATTTTAAAAACTCTCTCTCATTAGGGCACAGGGGGTTACAGGAAGTGGAAGAGAATGAGAAAACTTTAGTGAGGAAAAGGATAATAAAGGAACAGAATTCAGGAAGACACAAGATAGTGATTGACATTGCATTTAAATTTTTGAAGATTGTAGTTGGCAGAGAAGCAAGAAATCAGAAGGTTGTTTCACAGGCAAGACGTGTGAGAAAAGAAACTATTAGAATAGAACTGATGGTTACATCTAGCTAGTTTAACAATAAAAGATTGAGACCTAGTTGCCAATCTAGTAGCATGCTTAAATTCACACAGTTGAGCCATGAAGAAGAAGGCCTATCAAAACAATTGCAATGAAAATATTTGTAGAAAAGACAGAGAGAAGCCGTATCACAATGGTGAGAAAGTAACTAAAGTCAAGATGTCAGGTCAGGATTGATTACATTACAGACCCTTGTTTGAATTTTGTCAAGAATCTTTAGACTCATAGTAGGAGAACCAGACCAGATATGGCAGCAGTATTCAATGCAAATAAAGAATTTTTTGTGAATTTTCTATAATATCAGATTGTGGAATCAATCCCTGTATGCAGCACCAATGGAAAGTGCCTGCAAACCATGCCACTGGTTGATCCAGGCCTTATGAGTAAAACTGGGTAGATGGAACTGTTTGGGAACTATGGATGGTTGTACGAGCAAAAAGTCACAATTTATTGTTACCAAGGTCTTAAGCATACTGGCTTTGTTCATGACAAATTATGCACTCTCTCTCAGAAATTCTAAGTAAAGTCTGTTCAACATAGGTATAGTATAAATCACAGGTTGGATCTGAAGGGGTTCAAGAAATACAAAGTTGCCCAAACAGATGCCTGCAGCAGGCATTAGCTAGCCACCCTAAAAGACAGGCATACTGAGAAACAAGCAGCCAACATTTTACTTATTCATATGTTGAAAAATTTAGTTAGCACACAGATATGTTGTAACAAAGAATTTTTGTCTCTTGCATATTTCTTTCAAAGGTAATAGTACACACCAGGCCATTTCTTTTTATCCCTGACTCTTAGGCTTATATAATTTGAAGATCCACACAGGTCAGCTGACAAAAGATTTGATTGGAATATTTGTCTGCCACAAGTGTACTGTATCAAATACATAGGAATGATGGACCTTACAGATAATAGAAAAAAAAAAAAGGTTTATTAATAACAAAGTTACAGAAGCAAATAAACACTTCCCATTAAATTTAAGAAATAGGATTGTTCATGGGGATAAACCCCCTAACATTTATACTTACAAAATTACTTATAGAAAATGAAACAGCAAGATGTGGAAAATCAACAAAACAAGTATACCTACCAAGAGATCTTTACATCTGCAAATATATATTTATAAGCTAGTATAAAAAAAAAAACAACCTTTAAGGCTTATACCCAGTCATTACCAAAATGGACAATTGACAAAAATGGAAAAAAAATATTGTTATCAATAGGATTAAAGTGGCTTATCTTCATAAGCAATTCTTACGACCAACTGAGAAGCTTGATCATTCACACCTAAATGTTACACAAAAGATAGATGTACAAACATCAAGTAAAGCAGATGACACTCCATCAGAAACAACCACACAGAAGAATATTGCAACAAAATCTGGAAGGCAAGTACATTGGCCACAACATTACAAAACATACTGTAGATATTAAAGCATTATTTTTACATATCACTAGAAAGAAATTTCTAATGACCTTTTGTTGTGCCAATTAAAAATGAATAAATAAAAATTAATTATACTATCACAAATAATTATAATAAAATAATTATAACAATTATAATTATCATTAATATGACTCACCTTTTTTAAACCAATGAGAATCAACCCTACTTTTCTCATCTACCACACACAAACATGTGACTCCCTCACTATTAGACAAGCAGTCAACACAAGGGTTGACCAAAATTTTGGCTCTTCTACTTTTCAGGCCACAACAATAACATTTGTCCCTTCTTAACATTCATAACCAAAATTCGAGGTAAGAAAGCTCAAGACTTCTTTTCTGTTCTAACTAAATTATCTGGACACTCACTACACACATTATATATACAAACAAAAAACATGCAAGAATGGCTATATACAATTTACAAAGTATTACTTTCTTGTGTCTCTAACACAGGGGTCATCAAACTTTTTCAACCAGAGACCTCATTTTGTTTCTCTTCTTTCCCCAGTGACCCCCATTTAATATATCTTTGAACCATAAAACTTGCACTGATGTTGGCAATTAAAATCATACTTATTATAAAACCCAGGTTGTGTGTGTGTCTGTTCATTTATATATTGGATCGGATTTCCTACATTTTTCAACCGATTTCAACAAAACTTCTCAGGACTGCATAAAATTACCTTGCGGTGGTTCTGACAGCACCAAAAATTGGAAAAACACAATTGTTTTTGCACAAAATCAATTTGAAAACACGATT